ATTCCACAGCTGACCTGCTAAAAATGACAGATTTTCTTTTCTGGATCTCTGACAGACGGACTTCAATCTCTGAATTCGTAAAGTTTTTCTTTTTAGTTTTCGCTGTCATTTTTCATGAATGGACACTTGTATGTGAGGCAGGAAACAGCCTTATATGGTGTGGTAATTATGCTAATTTCCTCTCGCGTGCACGAGCAGCTGGATACGAACAGGTGTAATTCATTTACAAAGTTTTCCTGAAGATAGAAGAGTTTGTTGAATCTGACGTGACATGTTTGTACGAACCCTTCATACGAACAAAAGTAAGAGAAATTTAGGATAAGAATACGAACATGTTCTTTCATGAGGCCCAATGAGACAAACTAACACCGTTATAACGTCCACTGTTAAGCTCATGGTTAGTTAGTCACCACTGTTATTAGATTATATTATAAGTGAGCAGCTGTGTGTGTGTGTGTGTGTGTGTGTGTGTGTGTGTGTGTGTGTGTGTGTGTGTAATCATACCAGGCACTCCTACATGCTCCTCGATAAAGCGTACGTATTTCTGAGCTTTCTCAGGCAGCTCCTCGAAGCTCCTAGCAGCCGACGTGTCGCTCTTCCAACCAGGCAGAGTCTCGTACTCAACCTCAACGCGCTGCAGCAGCTCCTGATTGGCTGCCATAAATTCACGGGAGGATAATATGGAAACATTAATCTCACAGTAGGTAATAAAGATGGATGAGCTTCGGCTCAGAACTGCAACTGTGTTTAAATATTAAATGGGGTTTGACCTGACGTTCCTAAACAAAACTCAGAGAGCTAAACGAGTCATTTATCTACTCACCTGGAAAATAAGGTATAATTTTGTCATCGATTTTGTACGCTACGCCCACTTTGATTTCTGAGAATACATCGAGTATGTCAAGTTTGGTGAGAGCTAATCTGAAAATAAAGAGAGTCATCTTTAAAATAACTAAATAACCATTGCTGTTGACATAAAATACTGCATTTGTTCTAGGTATTTCAGGGTAAATAGTTAAATATCTAAATATTTGAAAAGTTTATCTCTTGTTTTTAAATAAAAAATAACTTGATCAGATAGAGAACAAATATCCTTCACTTCTGCATGCAAATATTACTGTAATAAAACAAACAAAAAAAATGAACGTACGCAGTGAAGCCATTAATCATGTGTGCATATTTGATGAGCACCAGATCCAGCCAACCGCATCGTCGTTTCCTGCCTGTGGTCACGCCGACCTCCTTCCCTCGAGTCTGAAGCAGGTCTCCAATCTCCTAATTATAAAAAGACAAACAGTTCTTTTAGGAGACTTCTTGCAACTTAAAACAACTAAACTACAATCATAATCAAGGTTTATAAAGCTAGGAACTAAAAAAAAGCAGGTGAATTTACCAAAAACATTCGCTAGGTGGTGCTGTTTGCCAACAAACTGCTATTTTTATTGAGAACTATCAAGTCATTACACCAAATATTATGTGTTTCATCATTTTGTTTGTGGTTAATGTTTTGTAATTCTCTGAAAAAATGGAGTTTCTTTTAAAAACACGCTCTTTTCCCTGTAACAAACTCAATTTAAGGCCTTCGTGCTCTTACGTTGCACTGCTCTGAGGGGAAAGCGCCGATGCCCACTCTGGTGGTGTACGCTTTAACGACCCCGTAAACCTCTCCGACGTTCTGAGGAGGCATGCCGAGGCCGGTGCACACCCCGCCCACCGTACAGTTGGACGACGTCACGAACGGATACGTCCCTGCAACAGAGTCATCGTTCCTTGAGTTCATTCAGCAGAAACACTTGTAAAAGTTATTCTAAAAAAAGCTTGCACAGTAAATTCTCCTTACCAATTTTACATGCATTTTTTACTGTACATAGATACAAAATACTCTCAAACACACAGTATTTGAGCAAATCCAGCCATCGTTTGCCAACTGAAAGACTTTTTCTGCAGAATTTTTCAAATCTTCTTAAGAAGACTTCTGTAAGCTTGATACGAGCTGGACTTTCCTGTTTGACTCATTAGCGCCTCTAGTGTTTGGAAATAGAACTGCATCCTACATAATCACTCTGGGCACTTAAGGGAGGCAATCAGATGCCCCTGTGGCCCCGCCCCTAAAACCACCCCTGTTGCAGAGTCTCATCTTCTTAGTAGATTTCTCTGTATATGTTTATAAAATAAACTGTTCTAGTTAGCTGTGACTTCTGGAAGAATCTTCTGTAGACTCAGAAGCACAGCTGCTTCTGCTCCAATGAGATGCTTTCCAGTTAAATGCAGTGACTCAGAAAGACAGAAAAACAACCCCAGCTCTGAAAAAAATTGTGCAAAATGTCAACAAAACCTGAATGCAATGATTTACACACACTTAGCAAATCATTGCGCATTCTGTTTTTATTTGCATTTTACACATCGTCCCAATTTTTTTTCCAGAATTGCTTTTATAAAAAGGAATATTGTGTTTTGATAACAGTCTTGAATGTGGTCAGTGCTCACAGTGAATGTGAGTTCTGCAGCCCCGTCATTATCTGAAAGGAAAAACCATCACCGTGGATTTCTCGCGGGAACGTTTCTGGGTTGAAGGTGTAGCGACTGGCAGACTGCTGACACCCGGTGCCTCTGTGCTCATGCAGTCAGGTGACACAGTGAGCGCGTGCGTCAGAAACAGTTTAACTCACCGCCGTCCCTTTTGTCTAAGCTCCAAGCAGGCTTTTGTAAAAAAATAAAATAAAAAAAATACAATGGAAAACCTTATAATCTGGACCAAATCACCAGGTAGCTGCAGACGCACTGATGCTTGTAAAGAGTTCATGTAAGCAAAAAATAAAATTACAGATAATACTAAGGTGTGATTTATTTTTAAGACACACTGGTTTACTGACCAAAGTCTATGTCGAGCAGTGCTGCGTTGGCTCCCTCCACCAGGATTTTCTTTGCAGGTCCGTGAAGAGCTTCGTACATGTAGTGCACACCGTCCCTCACCATGGGTTTGAGCCGCTCCACATAGTCCTGGATCAAAAAAAAGTGGAGTTTTGCTTAAAAAACTACAATTAAAGTCTTAAAAATATTACTGCTATTAATTACCTTTAATTTAACCAGCTCTCCATCGATGTCAATCTCCAGTGTTGGATACATGGCCTTGTACTGCTGGGCCAGAACTTTATACCTATAACAGGTCGATTTCCTAACATTAATACTTTTATCCATCGTGATGCAGGGACAGATAAAAAAGTTACCATCTCACTACTTTTCCTCCTAGATGCAACCACGAAGTTATAACTCCCCTCAAACTAGATAAAGGCCTTCTTTGGTGTGCACTTTTTTATTTCGCTCAAACCTATTTGTACTTGTAGAACCTCATAGACGTAAAGTAAAACACAAATATGGTTTTGAACAAATAATAACAATAAAAAAATTTTAAAAAATCATGCAGCAGCTGATGTCTTCAACATAACTCATAAACCTTTGATTAGTCACTCATTGCTAAGTATGGACAAAGCGCGTGTGTTTAAATCCAAAGTGATTTAATGCAGTGTTACTGGAACAGACCTTTCTGAGAACTGGCTGAAGTCTGCCAACAAATCACATATCCTGAGTCCGCTTCGCTCCGCTTTGGCAGAGTAAACTGGACCGATCCCTTTCTTTGTTGTCCCGAGGCTAGAGAGGAGCAAAGGGGGGGGGGGGTGGTGGAGATGATAAAAAACATTAATATGAAGTCATAATGTGCTGTTTTACAGTGACAACGTTCATCAAGTCCTTCAAACATGTTCTGTGAGATGGCCTCCTCGCCATTCAGGGATTTTTCTTTTGGTTAAAGACCGTATGACTGAGCTGCCGAGGTCTTTAGAAACAACAGMATCAAGCTAAACACGCATTTCCTCTCAACGTTGCTCCTAAGAATATGGCTCGGAGCAGCAACATTTGCTTAATCAACATGCAAACTACAGAACAGAAATAGACAAAGCTCCTCTGGTGGTTATTGAGTTTCACTTTTAGCACCAGTCGGTGTAAAACACGCAGTACCCGATCAGCATGTGTTCAAAGGGCTCCGGTTAAAACGTTAATGCATTGTTGAGGGGCTGCGAAAACAGCTGGTGGGTTTTTCTTTTCTTTTTACTTTTTATGACATATTTGGCTCTTTGTACTAATGAGACCAACTGATTGAAAACACCTGAAATAAGCTCACAAAAAATAATAATAATTAAAGGCTCAGCATTATTTATAGAAACAAATACCATCTGCTGCATTTCATGAACGAGACTAAGATTATCTTGTGATCTTAGTGGTTGTTTTGGACAAACTTTGAAAATAATGTTACGCGGARTCTTGTCAATATTAGAAGATGTGTTATGAACAAATCTCAGCTACTACCACGTCAAATTTTAGCTCAATATCTGTAAAACTAACTGAGTTACAGACTATATATTAACAGTATGTTGGTTGATGTAGATCAGCTGTAGAAAACATATTGATTGGTCGGTGCAATGATTGTTTCCTGGAAGTTTCCCTCAAATCTGTCCATTAGAAATGTTGCTAACACAAACCAAAGAGGTAATTGCAAGGTGATAAACAAAGATCTTGTGTTTGATGCTCAAACTGTTTAATCCATGTTAAACAGTTGAACTGATGCCAAAATAATCTTCTACGTCGGTTTAAGCATAACGACAAAGTGTTCCCCAGTGTGCATTTTTTTAAGAAGTCATTTTATAGTAAAATTCAGCATATCTGAAAATAACCATGCAAACAGGAACTTAAACACAGAAGTGTTTTTAACACTACATTTCTGCAGCATTCAATTTTAACCTCATGGCTGAAAAAAAGTAAAAAAATAAATAAAACCCTGAGTTCATGTGATGAGGCAGAAAACGTGGGGTGAGTTTGAGGCTGTTGCAATAAGTAAGTTCTTAAAATTTCTTCAACAAAATGATGCAACAAACCAAACGCTTCCTGTCTTCTGTTTGAACTGCTTTTATTTGAAGGTGTGCCTTTAAAAAAAGATACTAGAAATACAAAAGCTTACTTCAGGAACTTGTGAAGCTGTGACTTCTGTAGGAGAAAATGGTTGCTATTAAAATTCTGTAACATTTACGTTTTCAAACTATATTTATGTGTGTACCACGGTAAAAATGAAGATTTATGTCTAGTTAAACACGAAACGACTCATGTGATTCAGATTCCGTCCGTTTCAAACAAAACTAAAGGCATGTGTTTGTGAGCAAGATGCATGTGTGTCGATTGTGTCTCAACCATTTTTGAAGCAGCAGGTCTCTTACTTCTTGCCCGCCTGCTCTTGCCTCTGCTGTTCCTGAACGCCGTCGACTGCCTGGTGGAAGTCGAACACTGCGGAGGAGGGAGAGAGGGGACACACACTCTCACGCACCTCAGAGAAACCAGGGCTCACGCGTCCACACACACACACACACACACACACATTTCTTTACGCGCACACTCAAGCTTTCACGCAGCTCAAAAGCAAATAGAGGCCTGAGAGGACTTTACCTATATGTGCTCTGTCTGAGATGATCAACCTTTTCTCCCAGTCCTTTAGGCCTAAACACACAGAGGTATAATATCAGCGTTTTCAGTGTTTAAAAAAAACGTTTTCTCGAGTAAAAACTTACTATTCCCTTTGCGTTGGTTCTTTTCTGCCTCTTCAAACAGACCTGGAAGATGGATCACGACACCATTTCCTGCAGACGAAACCTGACGTTTAAGTTTTCAGCTTGATCATCAATCATTATGGTCACTTTTATTTAGGTGTTCATAAGATTATGACTGTTTTCAGTTGTACTTTTAAAAAAACTGAACAAGTCTAACTGAACACATTCCATAAATTGTACTTTAAGGATTTCCCCATAAAAATGGCTCATCTTTTAATCACAAATGTAAAAAAGTGTAAACTATCAGCATGAAATAGTTGAACTCGAATAAAACCATCAGTATCTTAGATTTAAAATCAAATCTCTACATACTGATAAAAATAAAAATATTTAAAATGATCTCCTGTAAATGCTTGTAGGATTTTCTCTGGTTGATAATGTTCTTCTTCAGCGACCTCAAGTCTAATTTCACGTTAGAGCTTAAATAAGATGAGTAACTGAGCCTGAGTGTGATGCTAAACAAAATAATTGTGTCCAGTGAAGGTGGCCTGATTGATGCCTGCTCTCAAGAGATCCACCGGCGRACTAATTAGCTTTTAATTGAGCTTTAATGAATTAAAACAGTGAGGTAATTACACTGAATAAATTAAGTAGAAAAAGGGTAGAAAATGGGTTACAGCCAGGAAAGTACAGGATGACACTATGAGAACAAAAAGCCTCACTAACAAACTTCAAGTTTATATCAAGAAACTGGTCATTTGAAATTTGGACAGAGCTTTGTAAGATGCTAATTATACAGTGTAAAGTAAGATAAATGGAAAGGTATTTGTGTAGCGATTTGTTCTAAGTGAGGTTTGCAATATTATTCTGATTTAGTGAGTTTTTTAATCTACAGTTCCAGACTCTCATCTGCTCAAAGCTTTTAAATTTCCGTCTTTTTCACATTTAAATCATTAAGTTGGAGTCTATGTAAAGTGGAAATGCAATTCTTCTTGGGTCAACAACTTCCCTTAACAATTCAGTGACAGACCGTATTTTTGCTCCCTGCATAACTAAACTTCAGTTRCTAAAGGCAGAGCAGGCATGCACAGTAGAATCTCCTTCCTTTCTGTTGACCAATAGGAGAGGAGCTGACCCAAGAAGGACCGCCCACCTTATTTGAATAAGGTAAAGCAAAAACAGGAGACAGAAAAATGCAAAAACGACACATGGAAATAAAATGACTTGTGGGAAAACACATTAAAAAAAAGGCATAAATGCATCTTCAAGT